AGATTAAAATATTTAAAAAAAAAGTAATTTTCATGAAAAATGATACATGAAAATGCTCCAAACTTTTGAGTAGAATATTAAAGTATAAAGTAGAATAGAAGAAAAATTTTAGAGTAAATAAAGTAATATGAATTTTACAAACATTGTCAATTAACAATGAAATATATATTAATTACAGCTAAAACTATACAATACTGTGATAGAGGATGTTATATCAGGTGTAAGAGAATCATTTATAGATGAAGGTGTAGACGAACAAGTACTACAAGAGCTCAAACAAATATGGGAAACCAAATTAATGTCTAGTAAAGCTGTTGAACTTAATCCAGATCCTCCAGAACCTCAGGTTCCTCAAATAAATACGCACAAAGCTGTGCCTGTTAACAAAGGTAATATTGATATTTTCTGTTAAAAAGCATATAAAATAATGCTTTCAATAAAAATTGTTCAAATTAAAAATGTTGAAAGAAAAAAAACATTGTTAAATAATATAGTAGTTGTCAAAAATTGCTATTCTGAAATTTATTAACAATTTAATAATTTCACAAATTGCAATTATTAACTATTAAAGATAAAAAATACGCTAAATATTGTAAAGTGTTTGTACATATAAACAAGTAGTCTCAACAAATATAATGTAGTCTCCACTTTTAGGAGTAAATATAGGAAATCACTTTGTACAACAAACAGGAGGAAATTCAGCTCCTCAACAAACATCACAACAGCAACAGCAACAACCACAACAACAACCTCCTCAACAAACACAAACTCAGACACAATGCCATTCAACTACAACTGGTATACAACAACATACTGGTACACCAGTACAACAATTAGTCACATCAACATCGGCAGTGATGGATCGGCAAGTACCTATTCAAATTACACTACCACCACAGACAGGTGTCCCAGATGCTCCACTGAGAGTTCTAACCATTCAGGTTCCTGCATCTGCAATCCAAGGTATGTGGATAACATGTTTGTATAATAAATAATATACAGTAATATTAATTATCACTTCAATTGTATTTTTAGCAATTAATTCATAAATTACATTTACTTTCAGGTAATCAATTGCATACAATTTTAACGGGTCCAGTTATTTCTGCTGCAATGGGGTTGCCAGCAAATTTGGCTTCCACCTTACTCCAGCAGCATGTCAATTCTACACTTCAGGGACAAGCAACATTGGCTCCACTCCAAGTCAGTCAACCTCTTCAAGTTGTTACACAGGGTGCAAATAATGTTTCTCAACGGTCTGTCCAAAATCAGGTAATTAATAGAAATAACATTAGCACATCTAATTTTCACATTACTTTAACAACATATCAATTGCACACATTAGGGTCAAGCAACACTGGCTCCACTCCAAGTCAGTCAGCCTCTTCAAGTTGTTACACAGAGTGCAAACAGTGTTTCTCAACGGACTGTCCAAAATCAGGTAATGAATAGGAATAATTCAGAGCTAATAATTATGTAACTAATAATAAATATGAATGATTGTTTTCATCTTATATGCCAAAAATTATTAATTGCATTTTGAAAAATATATGTGAATTTTATTGTATAACATTATGTGGTATGTCATTAGTAGATAAAATAATCATATAACTATTCTGAAATTGTTAGTGGTTGTTATTCATATAATTCAAGTTACTAAAACTATTTTTTTACATGAAAGATTAAATAAAAATTAATTTTTGTATTATTTTATAAATAGAATAACATAGCACAATTAGATGGTCCACTTGGAGACTCATCAGATGATGATGAAGAAGAAGAAGAAGAGGATAATGAAGATGAAGAAGAAGATCTTGATGATAAAGAAGAAGAAGAAAATGATGAAGCTGCAGCAAGAGAAGAGGTATTTAAAGTACTTCGTTGCTTTAACTTTTCTTTAGATGCATGTCTATCTATAGATATGCATTTCCATTAACAAATTAGAAATATATATGCTTTTTATCTTTTAGGAACCATTGAATTCAGAAGACGATGTAACGGATGATGATCCAGCAGATCTTTTTGATACTGATAATGTTGTTGTCTGTCAATATGATAAGGTATTTTGTAATTTTATTGTGTTCTAATTTTCTTTGAAAAGTAATTAAGAAATATTTATTATTTGCCTTTCAATAAACATTCAATTTTTAGATAACGAGGAGTAGAAATAAATGGAAATTCTACCTCAAAGATGGAATAATGAACCTGAGCGGTAAGGATTATGTTTTTCAGAAAATGAATGGTGATGCGGAATGGTAAATAATATATGAAACTATGCAAATTGATCTGGTAATGTGTTCGCGTGAAATTGGTATAAAAATTTGTCTCTAAATTTGTTTCAAAAAAGTTAAAATTTTCCTTTAATTTAAGAGGCAACATTTAAAGGGTAAAAAAGTCTAATAATTGTTGCGAAATTGTTTTTAACGCACGATTAGGCTTGATTAGAATTTTTATTTTTTCCAAATAAAAGATGCATTGAAACCTCAATTATTCAAACTAATGAAAAATTCTAAATTTGGGCAATTTAAATTAAAAGAATCCAAAATAGAAGTCCCATAAATTATAATAGCATTATGTTTTACAAATTTTTTAAGTTTCACTTTGTGCTTTAACTAAAGTAAAGAAATCTTAAGTTTCTGAATTGAAGTAAGGAAAGATTAAAATCATTCCAAATGTATTTGAATATAATTCAAAGTTAAGAAAAATATTTTCAAATAATCAAGGTTTCATTGCATAACGAAGAGCTCAATAATCAAGCAAGTCTTGCATTATATTTTAAAAAATCTACTTGCGCGTTTTTCACGTGAGTTTACTGTATAAATAGATTCTAAGGGATTACAATCTACCATAAATATGTGATGCTCTTAAAAATAAATGTGTCTTATACTGTTAAACACCTCAATACATAACGTTTTCTGTAAGACTGTACATTGTTCAAAATGTATAATTGTTTTTCCTTTTTTCACTCCTTTTATGAAATTGTATCATAAAATCATACAATATAAAATTCTTAAATTTAAAAACCGTAAAAAATATATAATTTCATTAATATTTATTTGCTTAATTAAACAAAGTATTATTTCAGCTCTTATCTTCTAGTTCACTGATAATTCGCGGAACTTCCTGTAATAATTCTTCTCGATTAATTTCAAAATTTTTATCCACCCAAATATCCTTCAGTTCTTTCAAAACAATACCCACCATCTTCCCTTTTTTCACTAGTTCTTTTAATATAATTCCATTAACTGGAAATCTGAAAATACATATTAATATTTTACATTGTTACATTGTTTACATTAATAGTAATAATGTTGATATGAAAATGTTCAATCGTTTAACAATATTTAATATTTTACTGTATTAAATAAAAAGTTTAATATACAGCACAGAAAATATTAATGTGTAACTGAATTTTGTTAATTAATGTAAAATAAAATGCTGTTTACACTTTCTAATTTTTTAATTTCTGGTATATACGTTTTTGGCGAAAAAAGTCTAAAATATCTATTATTACAATTTAACTGGCTATATTTTTGAAGTTAATAGCTACTATACCTCGGTATTACAAATTGTTCTAAGTCTTCAGCCAGATTAAAATGTTGTTTACATCTCAGTAATTCACAAATATAACTTTTTCCATTAGCAGTATTTCCTTTCCAATGAATAATAAGTTTTTTATAAAACTTTAAAAGATCCACTGAGGGTGATGGTTTATCTTCCCAATATCGAACTAAAAAGAATGCTAAATCCCTTTCATATGCAGAAAGTTTTAGTCTTTTATGAAGTTGAAGCACCTCATTCTCATCCTTTAACATTACAGCGAGAAAAGTAATTGGTTGCAAAGAAATATTGTTTTTCTTGGATGCATCATAAACAACCTCAAAATTTCCTATATTTGGATTTTCTGGAAGTCCAACATATCTGAAAAAAAGTAATTTTGTACATTAATCTTATATACAATACCAATGATGCAGCATAATTATAGTATTATACTAAATTTATTTTTATTAGAATCTTTAATTGCTAGTTACTTTGCAATGCCACATTCCAACATTTTTAATGTTAATTCTTTGGCATAATTTCCAGAAAAGATTCTTGACCATTCACTCCAGATTCTCTCTCCAGATATATCTTTCAAACCATATATATTTTCTTTTATTGCCATTACTGTTTCCTCATCATGAGAATCTGGTTGTTCTGTAATTCTTCCATAAAATCGAAAATACCTATACAGTACACAAATTTTAAAGAATTAAGGAATTTAGTAACAGTATTCATTTATTTTGCACTAAAATAATATAAATTTGTTTTACAACTAGTTCAATGATAAAATGCTAATAAATAAATTTGCATATTACTAATTATTTTGGAAAACTAATAAAAACATACCTTAAAATCCTAAGGTAATCTTCTTGAATTCTACATTTTGCACTTCCAACAAAAGTAACTCTCTTTTTTTGTAAATCATCATAACCAAAAAAGTAATCATATACGCTTCCCTCAAAATCAAGAAACATGGAATTTATTGTAAGGTCTCTACGAAGAGCATCTAATTTCCAATCTTTTGTAAATTCAACTTTTGCATGCCTACCATCAGTATGTGTGTCAATTCTGAGTGTGGTTACTTCAAAATTTTCCTTGTCATTTATTCTTGGAGTAACTGTACCTAAGATTATATTTATGAATAAATTTAATTTTATTAGGATACTTTACTTCAATAATAATAAATTTTAATATATGATTCAATTTACCATGTTTTTCCCCATTAGAATGAATCATTCTAACATTTTCTTTTTGGAACATGTCTTTCATTTCATTTGGAGTGGCATCTGTTGCAAAATCCAAATCTGTTGGCTTTATATCCATCAACATATCTCTAACAGCACCACCAGCAATTTTTAGTTCATAATTATATTTTTTAAATAATCGTCCTAACTCATTAAGTTCTGGTGTAAATATAGAATGAAATAATGGAGTATCCAATTTTTTAATTATTGGATTAGATCTGCTTATTGGCATCAACTCATTCTTCATTTTAACTTTTTGCCAAGTTCGATATAGCTTTAAAAATTTTTAATTATGTGATTTACAGCAAGTAAATATTGTTCATGTAAATTTTACATAAAATTAGCACTGTTAATAGGTGATTTTACTTCAATGAAATATGACTGTTTATTAAGATATTCATTTAAAATTTAATTGCTCTAAAAACTTAACCTCAGCTTTTTGATAAAAAAACAATTTCAAGGTACTGCATACATACCCGTAAAAGATTATAAGAAGAAATGCTATTTCTACGAAGAAGAATTACTGACATTATTTAAAATATTTTAAACATTTTTAAAAACATCGTTTATTAACAAAATAATTTCGTTTGTGACAATATCGCTTTAGTGTGTAGTAATTGCTCATGAATGTCATGAGTATTACGTTCGTCATTGATTTTTTTTAAAGTTACTTCCATGCTAAATTAGTCCGTAATGAAACTATTTGATATGAAAATTTGATTTTTTCTTTTAAAAAGATTTCTTCTAATGTTAGTTATTGTTATGTTGAATAAAACATTTGTCTCCGTAAAACATTATAATTATAGGTTACATTTAAATACATGGGAATCATTTCCCTTCATTTTATAATTGTTTTTAATAATCTTACAAACAGAAATTAAAGAGATTGTTACATAATTTGCTATAATTAAAATAACTAATGTCAAAT